GGCTCTGTCTCTTGCAGACACAGCCAGGAATCCTGCAGACTGCCATTACAATGTCTTCAGGACCACTTGTAATTAGGAATTTATAACATATTATTAATGTATTAAAATCAGAAATATTGAGTTCCTTATTTATCAAAAATCAGACAGGTTTATACAACCTTTTCTTTCACATGATAATATCATCTTTTTTTTTTTTTTATGTTTTTGAGACAGGGTCTCACTCTGCAGTTCAGCCTGGCCTTGAGCTCACTTTGTAGTCCAGGCTGGTCTCGAACGATAGTGTCATCTTTCACTTTTAAATAATTACCTTTCTAAACCTCACATCTGAGTCTCAGCGTACCAGGAGGAGGAGCAACTGGGACTGTGACTCCATCCTACCTTAGCTCAGCTGTCTGAGACCCTCAGCCTTGTAGTTTCCTGATAAACCCTGTGAACAGAGCTCTCAGCAGGCAGCCTTGACCTTAGGCAGCCTGACCTAAGCATCAGAGAACGTAAAAGCAATGGAAAGAGCACAGTGCTCAGCCATGACTTAAATAACTGAAAGAGAACTCAAAATGCCATTACCCCAGAAAATGTGATTGTGTGTCCACAAGTGTCAAGATACAACCTTCAGACTATAATTTTCAACAAAATTTCCAAATCTTTTACAAAACTGCTGTAGTCAACTTGAAAACCAAAATTACATTTGTTAGATGTTTTTATGTCAGGGCTTGATTTCAAAATTTTATTGAAACTTAAACCTGTGGTATCAGTATATAGAATATATTTATGCCCCTGGATAGAGTTAGGAGAACACAAGTTCATATCTGTCTCAGGTTCTTTTTTCAATTTTAAATACATATTTGATGTTGCTCTTAGATGTCTATCTCCTAGATATCTCAGTACATCTAAACCAGCCCTCTGGTGCTTCCCTCATGACAAAACACACACTTGGGAGTTTCTCACTTCCTTAGGAATCAGCCTGTCACTGCTCCAGCTTCCATCACTTTCTCAATGAACATCTCAAGTTTACTGAAATCTCTGCCACTAACAGATCTGAGATGCCATAGCTCCTCCTGTCGGTTGTAGATGGAATAACTGGAACCCGTAAGTCCTGGTAGAGCAATTCCTTATTTGACTGAAAACAAAATTTAAATATTTGTGAAATCATACAAGTCAGAGGGTAACTATTTGTATATAACAATTTAAAATTACCAGTGCCAGTGCCAGGACTCTTTTGGCAGAAGATGTTTTGAGCAAACTGAACAGAACCTCTGCCCTCCTAGAACTTTCATTTTAAGGCAAAGAGTAGTTAATAAATGAATAAATCATGTTTCTGAAGCTACTTCTAGTCTGCTCTACCTGACTTTTTCTCCCCTGGAGCACTTTACTCAGAGCAATTGGAGGAATGGTTATTCAGGTCCTTTCAGTGTCTCTTCCTTCCTTTATATGGACAGATTCCTAGGATCAGGGAACAAGTTTAGGCAGTGGAACATTTGTGCTTCCTCGGAAAATAATCTCAAGGCTGGGGATTTAGCTCAGTGGCACAGTGCCTGTCTGGCAAGTGCAAGGTCATGAGTTTGATTCCTGGTACTGGAAACAAAACAAAGCAAAAACAAAAACAAAAACAAAAGAAAATAATCTCAAATACAGACTCATTAATATTCAGTTACTCAAATTGAATTTTGATTAAATACCTTGATAATTCAATCCACCATGTCCCTACAGCTAGAAAACAACAAATATATGACAAATTGATACCATATCTGAAAACAAATTGAACCACTATTGGCAGAGCACCCTTTATTATGCTTAGAATTCTTATCCTTAAATAAATTCTTATTTATGCTTTACCCTTCTCTATCTTTTTCCTAAAACATGAAGTTTTATGGGGAAAGTGAAGAAGAGGTTAATTTTTCAATATGTCACTTAGATGTAGTTTGCCTTATTGCAACTCATATTTTCCGTCTGCATGCCTTTCCTCAGAGCTCTGGTTATAGACGGGAGACTGAGCATTTTCTCCTCTCATTCAAAGTGGCTCTTGTCCCCTTCCATGTGTCTCAAGTACTGTTTGGTAGACAGCTTGATTTGGTGAACACTTAATGTAAGCTAATCCTAGAGAGCCAATGTAGGACAGAAAGTCTATCATTCAGAGAGGTCACTTTTTTGGCCACAGTGGCCTTTGATGATCTGGAAGTTGACCATTATCTGAGCTCACCTACCTGATCTTCTGCTCAGCGGTCCTGCTCCAATATAAGCAAAGCACTTCATATATGAGCAAGAAGTACATAGCACCAGGGTTTGTGAGCATAGGTCCTAAAGCTTTCATTAATGTGTACCTAAAACAATGGAAGGCAGAATGGAGAATTAGAAAAATTGCATTTTGGTGCTAAATAAGTGTAACAAAATCAAGTATCCATTCATATTCCTCTTCGTGGTTTTTCATTAGCTTAAGTAGCAAAATTCCCTTTCCTTCTTCATGCAGTATAGGTTCAGAATGAAACTGGAAACACCAAGATTTTTTTTTTTAATCTATAAAGTCATAAAACAGGAAACATAGAAGAATATTTTTAAAAATTGTCTATTGCCCACACAGAAAACAATGGAAATCATAGGCTAACACGTACAGCCAAATCACACCTTCATAATATTATCAAGACTGTATATATTAAACACTAAGACACTTCTTTTGACCTTTAAATTAAAACATTTATTTTAGTTGCAATTCCGCCATGGAATACAGTTTAATTAGTGAATGCACACAGGACACAATGCACACACATGACAGCACACACATTTCATAATAAAAATAATAGCAAGATCGGGAGTAGCCATATCCCATATATTTTATTAGTCATACTTGTTTATATGCATTTTAGTTTGGTTCCTCATCATAAATTATACCATATTTATCTACTCAATAGGGAAAACATTGCTTTGAGCCAAGAACTCTAAAACACATTTGAAAACATATCAAAAGAATTTGGATGAATGTTAGATTCGCTTTTTCCACATTACGTTTAATAATCAAACACAAGGTCTGAAATTGCTTTCTCATAATCCAGACAATTACAAGCTAGAGATAAACAGGTCATCCACATTGTTCTAGTGGGCTTATCTTCCTATATCTCCATACAATCTTTCTCATGTTTGCTATGAATCTTAATTTCTTGCTAAACTAAGAACGCACATCATATTGGATTAGGCTCCAGCCAAATAACTGCACTTCACACCACATTAAACACTCTGTCTTTAAATTAGTGAAAAAGTACCGGGTGTTGCACCCTTTACATGTGGATGCTCAGATTATAGTCCACAATAGGCAGGAATATCAAGACATAATTCTCTCTTCTTCCCCTGTACCCTGTCATTTGCTGCGTGACTTCTGCGCCATTGCTTAGTTGAGGCTCACTTTGGCTTTGGCTGTGGATGAAGGTGGTGCCTGCCAGAGAGTTGCAACTCAGTCCAGGTTTGTCTTGCACTTACCTTATCTTAGTCAGAAACAGACATTTCTCTGAGGATTATTGGTTCCTATTCATGAGTAATGGCACTTAGAACCTATAAGTGCCTTGTGGGCTTAAAGGATCCTTTCCTCCAGGTTAGATAAAGCTACATATTTATAGCTTTTTCTACAGAAAATTGCATGGTGTGTGTTTATTTATAGATGCATGAGTCTATGCTTTAAATTCCCGTAGCCACAGACTTTATTTAAACAGTTTCCTTTCAAATAAGTAACTCCTTTTTGTAACAGTAAAAATCTTGGTTCTAGTTATTGTGATTGAATTAATAACATGTTTGCACAAATTCCCAGTTTATTACCAGACTTCTGGTTGCCACCATCATCTGTACTTGAATTGTATCCAACCTCCCCCAAGTATAACCACACATGGTCCACCTTCGCCATCTTTGCGTTCTGCATGGGCATCCTTCTCATCCTTCTTGGTTCTGATTCCTGTACATGGGACCCCAATATCCCTTATGCTGTCTTATCCTGCCCCTCTTGAATGGCTGCACTGAGTCAAGAACACCACCATTCCCATTTGGGAGCCCTCTCTGGACACATTTTTGATCAAACCTCCCATGTGTGGCTTTCACTTTCACTATTCTGTAGGCCTTGTTCTGTCTTTACTTTGCTTGGGCTCCATAGCTATAAATACAGCCATTGTGAACTATGTTTATAAACGAACTGGAAAAGATGTATTGGTAAAATATGCACATTTAAGGAACATAGAAGGTTCAGGAACATAAGTGGACACTAGGTAGAAAAATGACTTCTACTTATATAGAAACGTATATTGTTTCAGAGGGAACTGAATTCAGGGAAAATACTCTGAACTATCCAAGAACCATCAGGCACGGATCTGTATAACCCAAAGCAGAGCTAGGAAGGGAGTTCATATTCACCAAACATGAAGGGATAAAGCCCTTATTTTGGGTGGACTTTATAGAAAGAGTAGATAGAGCTCCTATAGAAGGAGTGAGACAGACTGCTTAGCTGGAGATGAGACGTCAGCAGTGACAGCGCTCGCCCTTCTTTATAAATCACATGTCTAATATTGTTGTATTGCTCTTACACTCTATACCAAGGCCATAATGGAACGAGAACAAAGAGGGAGCTGCTCTGGCAGGCCTTAGTCATACCTAACTTGCCGATGCAAGCAACATTTAAATGTTCTTGCAGTTCATGGTGTTGTGCCATACCTCACAACTGCTTCTCACAGAAGGAATCAAAAGAACCTAGAAGGAATCAAAGTGACTCATTATATATTGGGTACAGGACTAGTGCTGTCTTTTGGCTGCCAAGAGAGGAGTGCTTTTCTGCATGCAGATGCATGCTGTGTTTTTAAGTCTGGTGACACTTGGGGACATGAGGGACTTGCTAAGCTTTTGAGATGAACCAGCCCTGAAGCTGTGGCTAGGCCTGTTCAACTCTAGCTGATTTGCATGTTGCTCAGAGCAGGACCTACTCCCTTGAGGACTTCTTAAGAGGCTGATCACACCCTATGCAGGAGTCAGTCCCAGTCAGGACACAGCATGGACATGAGGGTCCCCGCTCAGCTCCTGGGGCTCCTGCTGCTCTGGCCTCCAGGTAAGGAAAGAGAACACTGGGAACATGTTGCACTGAGTGTGATCAGTGTTGCTTGGCCTTCAGAGAACTCTTTGTAATATGACTGATCTGGTAAATACTTGCATTTATGTTTCCAATCTCAGGTGCCAGATGTGACATCCAGATGACCCAGTCTCCTTCCTCCTTGTCGGCATCTCCAGGAGACAAAGTCACCACCACTTGCCAGGCCAGTCAGGGTATTAGTGGTTACTTGAACTGGTATCAGCAGAAACCAGGGAAGGCTCCTAAACTTCTGATCTATGAGGCATCCTATTTGCAATCTGGGGTTCCACCGAGGTTCAGTGGCAGTGGATCTGGAACAGGTTACACTCTCACCATCAGCAGCCTAGAAACTGAGGATGTTGCAACTTACTACTGTATGCAGTATGATGAGTACCCTCCCACCGTGATATAAACCATTACATAAACCACCCAAAGAAGCAAAATTGTGAATCTGGGTTTCCCCAAATGCTCCTCTAGATATCTTCACCTGCTGCAAATATTTCATAGATGCAGTCAAGCTTTGAAGGGTACTGGAAGGTTTTCATCAAGGGCTCAGAGAAGCTCATCTACAATTTAAATATTTTCTCCCTTTTCAGTTCTAGCAGCACAGATACGACTGTTGCTGTCTTGATTTCATGAAGACTGTAGGTTTTTAAACTTGAGGCATCTGAGTTGTGGCATTATTTGGAATTTGTATAGCAAAACAGAAGCCACTATGGATATTCCAAGCAAGAATTTTTCAGTTCTGGGAATTGGAATCTGAACTGCAGCCATTAGATGACATGGTATGTTTGGAAGATGGAATTTGATACTAAAGATTCATTGATACTTCTCCATTGGACATATGACCATTGGACATATGACATATGTTTCCTTCGACGCATCCAGGAAGTACAAAGTTGGAGTGTTGATACTCTGAACAGCCCCACATAATGTGTCATGTACTAGTGAATACATCACAGTAAAATTTGGTGGCAAGTTATAGCAGACATAATTCAATGAATTTTTTATTGTGTGTATGCATTTTGTCAGAGATGTTTCTTTTTTAAGGTTTTATTAATTTAATCTTAATTGATACATAAAATATAAAAGCAACATATATTAATAAAAGACTTTTGAAAGCTGTAGTTTAGATTTTCTTTCCCAAGACATCTCTTGTTTGGAGTACTTATAGCAGCTTACTTATTTCTGTATGAATGACAACTGATGTAATCACCCAACTCTTCATGTGTAATAATCCCTTTCATTTACATAAACAGAGGCATTGTCATATCCATGCTGTTGGAGTTGAGGATGAAGGAAAAGAGGATAAAGAGGAGCCTCCATACCACCTCCTACTAAAGCATCTCCTTAACCTCAAAGCCAGGCTGCATTGAGCAGACCCCTCAGTATGTGGAGAGACCAGGAGGAGCAGCTGGGGCAGCCCAGCCTCGCACTTCTGCTTCCCTGGGTGGTTTATGTTATGACTTGTATCACTGTAGAATGATAACTACTGTAATACAGATGGGAATACAATGCAACATCTTCTGGTTGCAAGTTGCTGATGGGAGAGCCAAATCTGTCCCAAGTCCACTGACACTGAACCTCAATGGGGCACCGGTTTCTAAACTGGATACCTTATAGATAAGGTGTTAAAATGCTTTCCTTGCTTTCTGCTGGTACCAGTTTAAGTACTGAATAATGCCAGGATCTGCCTGATGTGTGATTCCCCTAGAGATGCAGGCAGGGAGAATGGAGACTGGGTCATCTGGATGTCACATTTGGCAACTGACATTAGAAACATTAAAACAAATATCCACATATTTAGTTATGATTAAAGAGAACTTCCCTGAAGAGTCAAGTAGCACTGGCCACACTAAGCAAGGTCATTTCTCATGCTGTCCTTCATTATCTGGCAGCCAGAGCAGCAGGAGCCCCAGGAGCTGAGCAGGGACCCTCATGTCCATGCTGTGTTCTGACTGGGACTGAGTCCTGCATAAGGTGGTGTCAGCCTACTAATAGGTCTTCAAGGCAGCGGCCTGTGCTCTGCACAAATGCAAATCAGCAGGATATGTGCAGGGCTGGGCACAGCTGCAGGACTGACTCATCTTAGCAACTCCTCAGAGACCAAATGTCCCCAGATGTCCTTGTTAGAGTAGAGCAGCACAGGTTTACCCACAGAGAACATCTGTTGTCCATATGACAGCATCATTCTAGAATCTTTTGAGGACTGTGTTATTATGTTCTTTTCCAGATTCGTACATGCTTTCTTTGCTACCTTTCCATGTATGATAGGATGTGTTGTGTATGGCACTATCTCAAAAACTGAAAATTTATGAATTATTTTCATTAGTTTTTAAGCATAATTTTCAGGATGCAGTGTCTTCTTACTCTGATTTCTTGATACTCTTTGTGTAAATATGAAGTGCAAAAAATATAAAACAAGGGAGGGTCCAGATTTATAAAGAAGACTGAGCCTGTCATTAATAACCTGTCATCTGGAGCTAAGCAATCTGGCTTATTCCATTTATGAATGCTCTGTACAGCTACTTCTAACAAATCTGTCCAAGATCATGTGTTTACTCCCTCCTCATCAGAGGGAGCTTCCCAGCTCTGCTTAGAATTATACATGTCTGCGTCAGTGCCTGAAATCACTTGAATGTTGTAGATATTTCTTCATACTCTCTATCCACTCTTAACCTGAACCATGATTTTCAGAAGTAGAGATTCTTTCTCTATTGCATGGTCACTAATGTCTTCAAATCTGATGTTCCCTAAAAATGCATTTGGAAGGTGAATCTAGAATCCGTACATAGGGAGTTGCAGACACAGGGGGGCCCCTAGGGTGTCAACACATGGGAGTGGTGGTAGTGATGGCTCAGAGTTGGTGTCAAACAGGAGTGAGATGAACAGAGCATTCCTGTGAGTAATTGAGCCCTAGCCATGTGTCAGACCAAGGCAGGTAGAAGTAGACATTAAGGCAGGGGTATAAAACATGGCCATGGTTATTGCTGTGACCCGGGATTTGCAGATATTTGAAATCCCATCCAAATGCATTCTGAACCTACCTTCTAATTGTTAATATACTGAGGTCAAATGTCAGTTTCCATCATCACTATGTCTTGTAGAAACTTATTTTGAGAACTTCATTTCCTTCTATGATATCCTGTAGATTTTCATCTTGAGGGGCTCTCCCATGTGATTCAAATGTCAGAAAAGGAGGATTTGATATTCATTGACCCCTACAAGCAACACATGACCACAGGAGTCACCAGGAGAATTACAGACAAGGTCCTGTGGGTGGCTGAGAGCATCAGTACCCCACTATAGGCTTTCTGGGCAGGTATGAAGACCACAGGATGGTCAGCCTAAACTACTGCCAGGTGATTTCAAGATTCTGAGGAAACAGTGGAAAATCTCCTGTTTCAGGTATTAGCTTCTCTCGCTGCCATATCCCCAGAACCTTAAAAGCTATAGTTTATGCTCTCATTTTCTCTGCAAAGACAATTCTTATTTGGTATATCTATAGGGGCTTCTCTTGTGTATGTGAATTGCAAGTGGTATTGTGACACAGCCACTCTGGTGTAATAACCTCTGTCCTTTATTAAGTGATGAGAGGCATCATCATGGCTGTAATGGTGAGGCTGAGTAGATGAAAGAATGAAGGTGCAAAGGGGCCTTTCTGGCTTCTTCTACCAAATCTACCTAGTGACCTTCAAAGCCTAGCTGCAGCTGAGAAACACTCCCAGCAGGTGAAGGTACCAAGAGGAGTTGCTGGGCAACCCAGCCACACACTTCTGCTTCCCTGGGTAGTTTGTGTCATAGCTTGTGTCACCAGGGGATGGGAATTGGTACCCTGTTGACAGTAATAAGTTGCAGCATCTTCAGGCTGCAGGCTGCTGATGGTGGGAGAGTAATCTGTGCCTGATTGACTGCGGCTGAACCTTGAGGAGACTCCAGAATCCAAATATATGTATGATATGTTAGAAACTTAGGAGCTTTTCCTGGTTTCTTTTGATACCAGTTTAAGTACTTGCTAATATCCTGACTGGCCTGGCAAGTGATGGTGACTTTTTCTCCTGGAGATGCAAACAAGGAGGAAGGAGACTGGGTCATCTGGATATCACATCTGGCATCTGAAATTAAAAAATAAAAAATATTGACAAAGTCAATTACATCAACAGAGGAAATGTGTGAAGGTCTAAGAAACACTGACCACACCAGCCTGAGTAAACATCCAGGGATTTCCTTCCTCACTTGGGAGCCAGAGCAGCAGGAGCCCCAGGAACTGAACAGAAGCTTTCACATCCACTCTGTGTCCTGTCTGAATCTGACTCCTGCACAGGGTGTGACCAGCCCGTTTAAAAGTCCTCAGGTCAGTGAGCTGTGCTCTGGGCACATGCCAATCAGCAGAGGTTGGGCAGGCCTGGCACAGTTGCAGGGATGGGTCATCTCAATAACTCAGCACTGGCCTAGGGTCCTCATGTGTCCCAGGTCAGAACAGGGCATTGCAGATTAGCCTGCAGAGAATATGCAACTCTCTGGGAGCCAAAGTATCACATCTGTCTAGTGTGTTGTGAGTAGTGCTTTATTTTGATTTCTGCTACTCTCAGCACATGCTTTCTTGTGTATTGGTTCATGTATGTCAAGGACTACTGGTTAAGACACATTTCAGAAAGTCCAAGAAAGTTTACAAGCTCCTTGCGTTTGACTCAGGTGGCTGTTGTTGAAACTACAGAGGCTTTTACTTTGCTTTGTATTCCTTACGTCCTTAGAATTAACTTGAAGAACAAAACAAAAAATATAGTTATCAGGATTGACAAGTAAGGACAGTTATCACTTGCCTATCATCTCTACCTAATCAATCTGTTTTATTTGCTTTATTAATGTCTTTTTCACTAATTCCATGAAAGCCACACAAGGAGAGGTGATTTCTCTCTTCCTATCTGAGGAATATGATCTTCTCTGCAAGGTCTGCTGGAAATTACATACATCTTTGCCTGATATTTCCTGAATGCTTGAGATAATTATTCCTGCTCTCTTTCTCTTCTTAACACAAGCCATTGTTTTCAGAGGAGGATGTCCTCTGTCTACCAAGTATTCACTCATGCCCTTGAATCTACTGTGTTGTTCCCCATGCCTGTATATCTTACAATTTCCAAGGGTTTATAGGATCCAAGGGAACATGGTTCTCAATTGTTGGTTTTAGAGCAGTGGGGAAGGGAGAGGTAGGTAAGAAAGTTAAAGTGGAAGCCCTATATAGGTAGTTACGGGCACAGTGGGGTCCAAAGAATGTCCTCTCATGGGAGTGGTTAGGCAGTTGGCTCGGTGTGGGGATCCAAAAAATGATGACATGATGGGAGCAATCAAAGTGGTAAAGTTACCAGTGTAGAGGACAGAGTGCAGGCAGGATGAGGAAGAGGCTCATTCCAA